CAGCCAATTAGGACATGTGTCAAAGTATTGAACGTTTTCGTTCCCTTCTTGTCAAAATACTACAGGGAATGATGGAAATAAGCTAAAAGACTACAACTATAAGGAAAAGAAGTTCAGAAATATATCACTCCAATTATGTGTAGAAGTGACACGAAAAAATAGATGTGAAGAATCAAGAAAACAGCATGCAAATCCAATAAGTGACAAAAACGTAGTGACAAGAAAAAGAGAGAAATATCAAGAGATCTATTTCGCACCTTCACGACGAACAGTGCCAAACAACTGCAAAGACAACACATTCTCCTTCTGAACACAAAGCTCAGGGTCTAACTTACGTATGTACAAAGCTTCCAACACGGCAAGATGTAACAAAGACCTACCACGCGACAAAACAGAGAATACATCATCGGAATACCACTCACGACAACTAGCACTGCCCGACAGGTGACACTTGATTGCCGAGGTACCGTTTCCCTGACCCGACGACTTGGCCGTTGTCACCTCCGATATTGCCGCTTGCGAATCTCTCCCATTACGCCCTGCGTCCCTGCAATTCCGATTGCCTCGGTCGAGATCAGTGTGCTGCTGTGTTGGAAGCTTTGTACATACGTAAGTTAGACCCTGAGCTTTGTGTTCAGAAGGAGAATGTGTTGTCTTTGCAGTTGTTTGGCACTGTTCGTCGTGAAGGTGCGAAATAGATCTCTTGATATTTCTCTCTTTTTCTTGTCACTACGTTTTTGTCACTTATTGGATTTGCATGCTGTTTTCTTGATTCTTCACATCTATTAATTTTTTCGTGTCACTTCTACACATAATTGGAGTGATATATTTCTGAACTTCTTTTCCTTATAGTTGTAGTCTTTTAGCTTATTTCCATCATTCCCTGTAGTATTTTGACAAGAAGGGAACGAAAACGTTCAATACTTTGACACATGTCCTAATTGGCTGGTGGTGACTCTTGCGTAGATGCATGCGTAGATAATACTTTTTTTGTATTATTATTATTATTTCATTATTATTATTATTATTATTATTAACTGGTTTGAGGGAAAGAATAATAATAATAATATTTTATTAAGAAATGGTTTGCTCCCCACACCGGAGCTCGCGCTATTCCGCCGACTTTACTTGACACTTGACTGACTCACGACTGCCATCCAGAGCACACGAGAAGTCCATCGAACCTTCGACTCGGCAAACCTGCAAGAAAGCACCACTCCCTGCTCAATACACAGTGTTTCGGGGAATTCACCCCTCATCAGTTGAGCTTGAGTAGGCTGAGGAAGATTGTGCCTGAAGAGCACCACTTATATAGTGCTCTCCAGGCACAAACATCACCAGGGATACAAACTTACAGAGACGCTCCGTTTCCAGCGCGACAAACACCTCGTGAACACCAGATAGCAGCGTGAGTCAGTGTCGCTCCTGGACGGTGAGACAGACGTCGAGGACCCTCGGTCATTCGCAACGCTGTCGCAACCACTACTTCGTAATATTTTATTATTATTATTATTTAAAGAGTCGGCGTGGAGAAAGCAATTTTATTAGTGCAATTAGGAGTATAATCGATGCAGACATGGCCAGACAACAACGAGTTCATGGAATTTTTAAGGATTTTTATGTTATTCAAAATCGATTTTCGTGTTCCGCTCATCAGTGAATAGTATCGGAACTGAGGGTACTGTGTACAACAATAGAACATTTTATAACAGCATAATTAATTAAAAGTGTGAACAACAAAGGAAGTGCTACAGCATTACATAATAGGTGTCAAACATAGTGCTAACGTATATAACTGAGTGCAGCCACAAAGCAAGAGGTGATACAGTGCAACATGACACAACATTTACATCTGATAACCAGCTACGAGAACAACTTTAGCGCGACTACTTTTTGTACATGCTTCTTTTGTTTACAAAGAACAGGATTATGCACACGAATACATACAGCTTCCAGAACCTTCAACTGCTTAACATAACTTGCACACAGTGCACTGTTCGGTCAGCAACGTCTCATCGTGGCGGCTTTTTACTCAAATATGACGAGTGCTTACACCAGAGACTTGTAACTGATTGATTTCACTACACACCCACTGAAAATTGCCGCACATCAATATTATTCACCGCATATTTACCGCAAATTATGCCATATTATGCCGCGTTTTTTGCGATTTTTTCCGCAATTTTCCCCTGGGACAGATTACCGGTAAATACAGACTCTGACTTGCAGTGTATACCAGCTACACAATAGGTCTGGTGGTTTCAGGCAAGTAAAGTTTCAATCACCGATTGCTTTTGCTTAGGCCGTTAGGGGTTCAATAGCCATTATATTTATAGGGAGGTTTCGTTCTACATAATTACGTATGAAAGTTGCCCTCGCTCCCTGGCGCGTACGACATACATACGGATTTTCATACGTAATGTACATGTACGTAGAGCGAAACCTCCCTATAATAAAGGCTTTTATCTTGTAACTCAGGTACTGTTTGTTCACACCTTGCCACTGTACTGCCAGTTTGTTTCGTTTTGCACCTGCAGCGCAGGCTTCTGATTGGTTCTTGTAGTTGTATTTCACTCTTTATCATTGAAACTGATGCATGATGTGTTTGGGTTGTCTTTTACATGGAACTAACTTGGAGCTAACTACTTGGAACTGTTAATATTGTACAATCTCTACAGAAAACCAGTATTCGTAGCGTGGTTTACTACAGGTGATGCATGTACATGTACCGTATTATCTCTTAGGCCGTCATCACACCACGTTCTCCGACTCCCGTTTACGTCTACGTCTATGGTGAAAAAACCAAAACGGGTGGTCGTGTCATCAGACAGGCACAGTTCTTGACAGTCCGTGCGCGTTGACGCGTACACGCAGTCTGGTTTTTGGAGAAATTTGAACCCACGTACATCGAAGTACAGGGTCGCTCGGAAAAGGCTGGGGGAGATACGCACGTTCATACAAAAAGTCGTATACCCCCCCCCCCCCCCCCCCCTCTCCATACCACGTCTACGTCTCCCGTTTCCTCTGCTCCCGTTTTCACCCCGTATACGGATCAGCATGACAACCGACCAAAAACTCCTTACGTGGACGTAGACGCAGCGCTTTGTACCATGGTGTGATGACAGCCTAATAATAGTAATATAAGCACAGTCTCCAATAATAGCACGTCTCCAATAATAGAACACCTTGGGGCGGCATTCAAAAAATAAAGTGCTCAGTCTCCATTATAAGCACACTGTGTAAATTCATTATCTGTACCGGCGAAAAAAAAACCTGAAATGTGTGCGTCATACATGAATTTGGCATGGCAACATGCCTCTGAAATGAGGTTGAAGTAATAATGGAACAGTCTCCAATAAAGGAACGTCTCATAGCACGGGGCGGAGGTACAGGTCTGCTCTCGATATAACAACTCTCACTTGTACTTGTACATAAACCTCGCTAGTACATAAAAAATCAAATCCCGCGCCAAAACAGCATCACTCCCATACAAATTTTGTTCCACACAACATAACCCTACATAACATAAACCTCGATATAACAAACGCTACGGCGCGGTCCCCGAAGGGCGCACTCTCGATACTACGTAAATTCACGTGCACTGTACGATCAAGCAGTAGCTGTAGCTAAGCAGTTTAGGCCAGTTTAGTCCTGCATAACGTAAACCTCGGCATAACGCACCCTACGGCACGCGCACTCTCGATACGTTTTCACGTGCGCGGTGCAAGCAAGTTGTGGCCAATTTTTTGGCGTATATTCTGCGGCATTGATGGTATCTGATGTCGATGGTGGTACAGTGTGTGTATGTTTGCACGGTTGAACCCGCCTTGTAAGGGGTCGTCGCAAAAGTTTTCTGTCGTCCCTGAAACGAACATCGTTCATTTCGTACTTGGACCCCCTCCCCTCCCTCTGAAACGAACACAGCTTGCTATGCTGGACGATGAAAAATCGCATGCATGTACATGTCGTATGTACAGTGTCGGTCGACTTGCGATTTTGGCTCGCACCCCCTCCCCCCCCAAATGAATCATGTTCGTTTCAGGGACGACAAAAAACTTTTGCGACGATCCCTAATACCCTTCATTTTGAGGGGCATGTTGTATTGTACACACGGTTTTCTACATAACATAACTCTCGCTATAACATAATTTTTGCGCGGTCCCAGAGATTATGTTATATGGAGAGTAAGCCTGTACATTGAGAAAATAAAGGACCGTGCTTATATTAGAGATAATACGGTACATGTACTGTACAAGAGTCTCGGAAATAAATATATACTTGATACATGTAGTCATTATCAAGAGTGTATAAACTGTTTATGGACCCTTGTTATCATTGACGGAGACCGAGTTAATTATTACTACAGTACTAGTATTACGACAGCTACAATGTACGTAAAAATGTCTGAACCACACTGAATGCCGCCTAGCACCATGGCTGAGGTGCTAAGGAACAAACCGGTTCACTGTTGCTGTACCTTAAGTCATGCACCGAAGCAGAACCTTCACCTGGAGGCCAGTGGAAGCGGAGGAAACCTCCTGAACACCGAAATGCGTGAACGCGGTCGCTGTCTCCGGCCAGCCTCCCAATGTTCTGTAAATTCTAGTGCAAACTCGAGGTGAGGAGTTGCAGAAAGTCCAAAGCGAAGGAGAGGGGAGAGCACCTTTGTTTAACGTGAAAGGTACTATGGAAACAACGTCGGAGAAAAGATTCCCCTGTGAAAATATCCTAGGGTTAGAGAGTGGAGCAAGAACCCCACGATTCCCTTCTTCCGACACCAAAGCCATTCAACAACAGAGAGGTGAAGAGCTTCGATCCGCTATTTCAAAAACAAGAAAATCAGAATAAAGCCCGCGAAACGTGACGACGTACGTACGTAAGCACTGCGCGCGCACGCGCTGCATGCATGCGAGTCATGTCAAATCACCATGGCAAAAAGCTCACAAAAATTAATAATGGAGAAAAAATACTTCCAATTTTTCATTCTGTGTTTTCTGAGATTTTGTACAATCTTCCTTGAAAATCAGTGTTGTTTTCTTCGTGGGAATATCTGTGCCAACCATGGATGACCAGGAGGGAAAACATCTTCAGATAACGTTATCATCCAAGGATGACAGGTATTCCGTGGGAGATTCTCCATTCTCCATCCCGAGCAAGGTCACCTGTTCTGAACTGAATACTTTAGTGAACGAGTTAATTTCTGCTGGAAATGAAGACCACAGTCCAATTGAATTTGATTTTCTCTTGGTGGATGAATTGCTACGATCCTCTTTGGAAGAGTCTTTGACAGAAAGAGGATTGTCCTCTGAGGCAACGTTGGATATAGTGTATTTTCCGAAACACCCTGCGCCTGAATCGGAGGGTCAGATCGTTCTCAACGATTGGATTAGCAGTGTGGATTGCTTCGGTTCGTACATCCTCTCAGGCTCGTACAATAACCAGGCCTACATATGGAACAGAGGGAGTGGACAATGCCTGGGAAGTGTGGAACACCTGAGCTCAGTGAAGTCTGTAGCATGGATCCGGCACAGCAGCAGCGAGAACCCCTTGTTCATCACAGGTGCAGCTGATGAAGCACTGAGTATGTGGCAGTTCTTCCCCGAGGATGGTGTCTGTCGCTGCTTACACACCTACTCTGGACATGGCCGTAGTGTCGACTGTCTGGCCATGGACAACGTGGGCAGTCGCTTCTGCAGTGGCTCGTGGGACCGCACAGTGCGCGTGTGGTCGGCAGTGCCAGATCAGCTTGCCGACACGGCGCACGTAGCTAACGGAGGCGCGAAACGTAAGAAGACCAGCAGTGCATCGGACGCTCAGAGTGACGCAGTGGATAAGCAAGCGTTGGTGACGTTGACCGGCCATAGCGAAGCCGTATCGTCTCTAGCCTGGTTGGACTCTGCAAGTATAGCCAGTGCTAGCTGGGATCACTGCATCAAGCTGTGGGACTTGGAGAGCGCCTCGCTCACCGCCACGCTGGCCGGCAACAACGTGTTCAACAGTATCAGCTACTCGACGGCGTCTCGTTTGATCGTGTCGGGTAACTCTGACCGATCGGTGCGCCTGTGGGACCCGCGCTCCGACACAGCACTGGTGCAGAAGATGCTGCGCTTCCACACTGGCTGGGTATCGTGTGTCCAGTGGAGTCCGGACAACGAGCACCAGCTGGTGTCGGGCTCGTTTGACAAGACGGTGTGCCAGTGGGACATCCGCAGTCCCAAGGCGCCGCTCTACAGCATGACGGGGCACACGGACAAGGTGATGTGCGTCAGCTGGTCTGAGCGCGATCTGGTCGTCAGTGGCGGTGCCGATGCCCAGCTGCGCCTCTACAAAACATAACGCTGCCGCTACTGCATTCAACTTGTTTGTTTGTGTGTATACTTTTTAAATATTTGAATTCGCTAATCCAAACGAGCACAAATGGTCAATGACAAGGCAGTGAATATGTTATTATGTTACAGGGAAGGAGGGTTGGGGAGAAAAAAGAGAGAATGGTAGATATCTCAATGAAGAGCGAAGCGTTATCAAAACTACAAGTACCGTATTATCTCTAATATAAGCACAGTCTCCAATAATAGAACACCTTGGGGCGGCATTCAAAAAATAAAGTGCTCAGTCTCCATTATAAGCACACTGTGTAAATTCATTATCTGTACCGGCGAAAACCCCCCGAAATGTGTGTGTCTGACATGAATTTGGCATGGCAACATGCCTCTGAAATGAGGTTGAAATAATAATGGAACAGTCTCCAATAAAGGAACGTCTCCATTAATAGCACGGGGCGGAGGTACATTGAAAAAATAAAGGACCGTGCTTATATTAGAGATAATACGGTAAGGCAGCGAACGACAGTTCTGTAACCCGCCTAATAACTACAAAAGTCAAAGTACTAACGTTATAACTGCTAACGAGAGTACTTGCTACTAACAACGGGAGGATTTTTTGGGGTTTTTTTTTTAAAAGGCCCTGCCCTGCCAGTTACGGACTTACGGGGGTCGCCATGGCAAATAATAATGGTAAACAGTGAAAATCATGATCACAGACAGGAAGTTGTCTCAGCGCAAGTTTATAATCATAACATCAGGAGGACCTGAGTTGAGAACATGACTACGAGAGACCCTGACTTTGCCATAGTGGCAGCATGCCGGGCATGACTATGTGTGGTTTTTTGGACGCATGCCATGCCCTGTGATACTAGGTTGCAAGTTGCAACACACTCTGTCATTGCAACAAGTGTTTATGGACTCTTGATTGCACTCATCTTTTCATTGCTTTTTTTATAACCTAAACCCCGCTAAACCAAACTCTCATTGCGTTGTGTGCGGCACCATGACCTGTCAGCTGCCACGGTAGAGTGTAAACTATTCTCTTGTACACTCGTCGCACTAACAGGCTCTACAGTGATGATGGAAAGTGAAATTTGATCCCTGGCGTGAGAACTGCACTATGTGTGTGTGTGTGTGTGTGTGTGTGTGTGTGTGTGTGTGCGCGCGCGCGCGTGCGCGCGCTGCCGCTGGTTATGGCAGGAAACACGTGCACTGAGCTCCGAGCACCAAGGTTGCTGCTCGGTTCCAGGGCGGCGCAGAAATACCCATTGTGCCAGCTCCTAGGGCCATGGGGGTCAGACTTCACAGATCATGCAGCAAAGACAGTACCGTATCGCACGCACACACAGGTGCATCTCCTAGTGGCATTCACTCACCACCCTAAAAAACACATCATTGTCATCATCAAAACTCTGTTCGAAAATCTGTACAGACAAATTCTGAAATATGCGCTGCAGTTTGATGTGAGCGAAAGAAAATCAAGCTCAGCATCAACGGTGCGACCCGAAGTAATCACTATCAAAATCAAAGCTTTGTACGAAGATAACCGTGCTGCAGTTAGAAATTTGCAAAAGAATCAAGTTAAGGTGCTCCCCATTCATGTACATGAGTATGGCAAATACAGAGAGGAACCACTACAAACAGCGGTTGTTAAAGACTTCGATGCTGACAAACAGGACAGTGGCCTAATCAGAGAGTTGACACGGGATCCAAGGGAGACCTAATTCTTGAGCTGCTGCACCATGTTAGTGCAAATTCCAATACAGTCATTCCGCAGCCGCTAGCCAGGCTGCAGTGATGTAGGATAACTCTTACTCTGACACACGTACACACAGACAGTGCCACTGCTCTGAAGAGCCACATCAGAATGCAATGAAACCGTTTTCAATGTCACTTGCAAGGAGTTGAAGGCATAGGCTTCATCATCACATCATGTCGATCATCAACCCTGCCCTACAATGCAGTGCAGTAGCATGGGAGGACATAGTTGCCGTAATCGTATGGCCATTGTCGGGCTGTACTGCCCAATACTGATGCTCACTGTGTGCAGTAGGACCACCATCAGCCAATTAGGCCATCCTGGAGCCTGACGGTCGTGATTTTGCCACGGGACGTGACAATCGGATAGTTTCTGTAAAGGGCTAGATGATTACTGACTTTCAAATCAGCCTGGGAGGTATGCACATGAACACACACACACACACACACACAACACACACACACGCGCGCACGCACGCACGCACACATACACACACACACACACACACACACACACACACAGGACGGGCATGAAGTACAAGGAAAGTAAAACGCGAAGGAAGAGCACATCGGATAACAGCGTAAAAGCGAATTGCACTTGAAGCACAGCTGTCAGCAACACTGTGTCAACACATGACAGCAGTAGCAGTCAATCCTCTAATGCCAAGTACATAGTAACCGTGCCAGTGAGCAATAGCCCATTGCTATAGGATCAGTACAATCATGCTTATGGGCAAGGGTACAAAATAAATGTTGACTGGTTTGAGGGAAAGAGACAAACGGGAAAAGTCTGAAGAAAAAATTGACTGCCACCACCAGGACTCGAACCAGGGACCTTCCCTTGTAGCCAGCGATGCTCTAACCACTGAGCTATGGTGTAGTCATCATCCCAGCAGAGGCCGTTCAATACTTTCTTCAGACTTCGTAACTACAAAATAAACTTCATCATTGTGCGAGATCTGTGGCAATACACCCAGTGAGAAGGGAGATTTTGCTTGTGCCTATGGTGAAGTAAAATCAAGCTTAACAACAACAATAACAAACAGTTTATGTACTCTCGTCACGGGCCAAGTGTACCCATAACCATGGTAAATGCATGGCGTGAAATTTCATCTCACCTTGATGCCGGCCCACAGGGTTTTCTTTGGGTTAACGACCTTGTCAGGAGCTGTAGACACACACACACACACACACACACGCACACACACACACACACACACGCACACACACACACACACACACACACACACACACACACACACACACACACACAAACACACACACACAGAGGTTCACAAGAGAACAGGTGTGCGAACCCAGCACAAGGGCAACCTAGATACCGGCACCACTGTGATGTCCTGAAGTCAATCTACAGTATTTCTTCAGCTTGCAGAGCACTACTACTGGCTACGAATGCAGAGCACTACTGGCTACCAATGCAGAGCACTACTACTGGCTACCAATGCAGAGCACTACTGGCTACCAATGCAGAGCACTACTACTGGCTACGAATGCAGAGCACTACTGGCTACCAATGCAGAGCACTACTACTGGCTACCAATGCAGAGCACTACTGGCTACCAATGCAGAGCACTACTACTGGCTACGAATGCAGAGCACTACTGGCTACCAATGCAGAGCACTACTACTGGCTACCAATGCAGAGCACTACTACTGGCTACCAATGCAGAGCACTACTACTGGCTACCAATGCAGAGCACTACTCAGTCTACTGGCTACGAATGCAGAGCACTACTGGCTACCAATGCAGAGCACTACCGGCTACGAATGCACGAGCGCGAGCGGCCTGTATAAGTAGTACAGAGGAATGGCGAATGAGAGTGGCTGGAATGAGGGCAGACAATCTATCCAAGCTAGCCCGGTCAACCGGGGAAGAACGCACCACCATTAGTGACTTTACTCCCTCGCACCCAGACGCTGATTTTTGGAAACAAGTTTCTATACTTCCGATGGGAGAATCCGACATGGCAGTGCATTTCGGCGTGGCCAGGTCAAATTGTAGAATATCGCATCGAGTGAATTGCTTTATCTGAGAGAGGAGATGTTCGTGCCCTTGAGACCCGAAGTCCCGTTTCCATACGACAAAATTTAGGAGCTCTGCGCTCAGCGCTTTTTCAGGGTATGAATTTCGGGTTGTTCTTGTCGGGTCGCAGCGTCGCGGACTATTCCATCGTCTTCAGCGTCGAAAAACTACTGGCCATGTGAAATTACAAGGTGGTGAGACGCTTTCGTCTTCCTCTACGAGCGAATTTGTTCTGCGCCAGCATACCAAAGTATGCAATTTCGTACGCGCAGTTCGAGTGACGAGGCGTGTGCACTGTACACTGTACTGCATGCACTGACTGTGCGGTCGTTCTCGATTCTCCCATCACTCCCATTCATTTCTGTTTCCAGCAAAAGTCCAACTTGGCGCACTTCAAATCACTATAACTCAAAAATGGCTGGGCCGATTTGAATAATACTTGCAGATTTCCTATGTACTAAGCCTGGGAGAATCGAATGAGACCAAAATCGAAGCGATCGGAGCAAGTTTTGGAAATTGGGTGTAGTCACTACCACCATCCAGTCAGGACTGTAGGAAATGACCGTCACTTACGTCCAAGGTCATCGAATTCTTTCACAAAAATTCGGTCACCTGGCTTGCTGCCTTCTGGTACTGACAGAATCTCCACTTCTTCATCCCTTGACAAAGAAGCAAACACAACAGTTACCAAAGCCAATTAGCCAATTACAATTGCCTGGTCCATGACTGCTGTCTTTGATCTCACTCACCACATTTAGAATCAGTGGAGAATAGACTAAGCTACTGGGTACCCATGGAGTCTACTATGAAGGCTACACACCACACTCGGGTGGAGTACACCAATCTAGCTACCTAGTCATCCTTCCTTTCTTAGCTTCAGCCAAAAAGGGCACTTACCCTAGCATCGGCAATGCCAGCACTTCATAGCTTCTCTCCATGTACCATGCAGGGCATGTTCCCCACTAAATTGGGATCGCTAGGGGGCAGTGGACCACATTGGCCATAACCAAAGGACCTACAGCCTTGTAACACTTCAGGGCCAGTACAACGAACACCACATACTATTTCCAAAGGTCTGCCTTATGAGAGTGAGTGAGATTGGGTTGTTCACCCATCCATACCGTTATAAAAAAAGGCGTGCTGTAATTCCCCCCTGTGACTTCAATCGGCCCACAATCACAATCCACTGCATCATGGCGGTGAAAACTAAAGGCGCACAGGCCATCGTGAGAATAAAGGATTTCAATGGTGGACGCCTGACAGAAGAAACACTTAGTAGGCTACCAGTTGTACCTTCCCATACCCCATACCCCACGGCCAGTGGCAAGAGTATTACAGTATAACTACTATGGCACCGCCACCAGTGACGAACGGCAGCGACAACGACAGAAACAACGAAGACGACTACAACAACGACTACAACAACGACAACGACAACAACAACAACAACAACAACAACAACAACAACAACAACAACAACAACAACAACAACAACAGAGTGAGTTAGCTGCATGACTATTACTTACTTCATACAGGCGAAGATCATAGCAGTGGACGGCATGTCGCGGAAATTGCTCTTCTTTAGATTGCAAAACACCATGACAAGACGTCCAGTCAATTCCTCACTACTGACATACTTCGCAAGACCGCTTACAATGGGGCGATCATCTAAACCAGAAAAAAAGAGAATGGTACGAGATAGTGTGTATGTGTGGGAAAAAAAAACACTTCAATCAGCTGTGTGGTGGATACCAGGCTAAAATTAGTGGCGGTCAATTCATCAGCCTTGCAAGCTGTTGAATGGTGTAATCCCAGCACAAGTTGCTATGTCTAACATAGCTGTTCGCTATCATCGCTTCCGCGATGGGCAGGTCTGAGGTGTGTGTGTGTGGGGGGGGGGGGGGGGGTGAAGAGAATGGTACGAGATAGTGTGTATGTATGTATTGGGGGGGGGGGGGGGGGGGGAGGGGGGAAGAATGGTACGAGATAGTGTGTGGAGGGGGGGGGGGGGGGGGATGAAGAGAATGGCACGAGATAGTGGGTACATACATGGTGTGTGTGTGTGGGTGGGGGGAAGACAATGGTACGAGATAGTAGAGAGGTTCTGCAAAACGAAATTCAAACCAAGTTTCGCGACGGGCCTTGCGAAAATGTGTGCGAATTTTGGCACGAACTTTGTGTTCTGCACATTTTCGTAGTTTGCACGCGCCAAGTGCACGTACGCCATGACCCGATCTCACGAAACTTCCCACGAAAGTTCATTTCGCGTTCCCTGCAAGTTTCTTTTCATGACGTGGAGGAAAATAAATCGCTGTCCAAATTTTGTATATTCACAATAATTGGGAACTTTCCCTCCACTATAAAGAAATGCTTGAACTACTTCCTAACAGCTCTAAGCCCTCTGCTTTACACTAAAGAAATACTTTGAAGTGCTGTAGTCAACATACCTACGAGCGTACGTAAGAAAAACATTGGACTTTATAAAAACGTCTACACGTGCAATGTGAATATCAGGCAACAGGGAGCGACAGAATGCGGTCACATGTTTCAAAAGCACTGGCGTTGCCTATTACAGGACTACAGCAGAGTTTGGCAAGCCAGTTGCCAAACCATTTCAATATAATTATTCAACTGAGTAGTGTGAGTACGAGATACTGGATCGCAAGTCACAAACCCTTCTTTGGAACTCGGATGTTGTGCCAATAATAAGTGTAGAAAGGAAAGGGACATATGGATACAATTGTCCACCACTACAATGTAGTAGTGCACTGTAGCTACTTGCATACTACATACAGTCGGAAAGTGCAACAGCTAGGAACGAAACTGACAGAGTACTGAGAAATTCGACGACCTGTCGGAGATGTGTTGGGAGCTAGGTGTCAGGTCATCGGGTGTCTCGGTACTCTGTCAGTTTCGTGCCTAGCTGTTGCATTTTCTGACTGTATGTAGTAACCAGCTACAGTGGTGGAGAGTTACTCTTAACTCGTATCCATATGTCCCTTTCCTTTCTACCCTTCTTTGGCCTTGAGGTCTAGTGGAAAAAGGCTGTGACTTACATTGAGCGAAAACACTGTACTGATATAGGAACATTCGAGAAACACTTTGAAGAAAGCAAATATTAGAATTACTTCCAAGTAGACCATATTCAGATGAACGGGATGTTACTGTTGACTACTCACGCTCTTCTCCCACGTCCAGACCAGAGATGTACCAGTTCTCGTTGCCCGGGTGCTGTGGAAACAAGCACATGGAGAGAGAGAGAGAGAGTGAAGAATACAGTTCACCCTTGCAGTGCATCGCACAACTCTGGATCACTAGCACTGTTGCGCATTCATACATGTACCTCAGGTACAGTGAGAACTGTAAAAGCCGACCACTCAAGGGACGAGAAACAGTGGTCGCCTTGGCCAGGTGGTCTTCTTATCCAGGTTCAGTGGGTCATGTGACCATATCCACGCCATAATACATGTGATAATAATTATATCATTTTGATCAGTGTATCACCATGATCACACTGCGCACTGCACACACACACCTATGCTACTCGAGCACGACTCATGTGCCTGGGGTCCTCAGACCTGTCAAGTGCCGTGCATGCACCATGACGTACATCTACACTGTCTTCCTGCCCTGATGTGTAGATCTACCATGCATGGTGCACCATGCAATGTGTAGATCTACCATGCATGGTGCACCATGCAATGCGTACATTTACATGTACTAGCAGGGTGCAACGCACGCGGTCGCGGGTGGGTGGTCGTCGGTCGCGTTGAGCGAGTGGTCGCCTTATCCGAGCTGTTTTGAATATGAACGCGTCTGTGACAAGGAAAAGTGGTCGCCTTATCCGAGTGGTCGCCATTACAGGCTTTACTGTATCCGGACACCCAAGTTACGGGCATTTCGCTCTACCGGGCACCCCTTGTGGGTGAGTTTTAGTAGGAATATTACTACTCGTTTTTGTCACTTTCTGTGGACATCGTTACGTCATAAGGGGCCATCCGGAATTATCGATAATATTCACGAAACGAAAAAGTTTAGTTATGACCCTCCCCCACCCAACCCCATGAACGAAAAATATATCGACTTGACCGCTAGAATGGACTGATGTTTCAGCTATCAATGTTTTTCATAACGAAACTCTCCTCCAAAGATCAACCCACCCACCACCCATGAACGAAACTTTTCTCTTCGTGAAAAAGATCGATAATTACGGATGGCCCCTAATATTATGCCATATCTCTGGCCGGCCATCCTCATTAGAATTTAAAATGTATGTGATCCAGAGTACTACTGCAAACCCGGAAAAGTTCCGTGGAGATTTATTTATTACAGCATCTCATAGCACAGTGAGAACACCGGCCAATGCAAAGAGAGAGGGTGTTAGCCAACCACGGCAAGGAAGGGAGAAGGGGAGGAGAAGAAAAGGAACCGGCATGGATAAGCAGTTTTTCTTCTTCTTTTTTTTTCGGTAACTTTGGTACAGGTACATGAAATTCTTACCTAAAATAAAACGCGACCTAAAACTCAACAATGCCATGCCACACAGTGTGCAAAATGCATTTTGGACCTGGAAAACTGGTTTACCGAAATGTTTGCGCTACTGAACCGTTGATTCTGGGAAACGCCGAAAATATTACACCACCGAGAATTCCCGATTTTACAGTAGTAACAGAGTTCAATACGGACATTCTAGAGTTGGACAGTGACGGGTCCGGGACCCGCTCTAATAAACGAGGTACGAGTGTAGTCAACACTCTTGTACAAAAGTGCGTCTCCTATAGATGCCTGGTTCGCATACACGCCTGATTTCCAAGACGGACTTTTGCAGCGCAAGCCTCTGTTTTAGCGTTGAATAGGGGTGCAACGATCACTGAACATGGGTTGTCGATTACATCAGGGTTCTAGCCAAAGGGGGGTAGGGGGGCGCAGCGCCCCCCTACTCTCTTTGCGCATTCCCCTGTGAAAAATTGCCGCCCCCCCCCCCCCCCCCTACTCATTTTCCGACTTTCGTGTTTTTCATATGCATAGATGGTTCATAAAGGCACATTTGTCTGGGGTTGAAGTCAGGGATTCGCCCCATACGTTGCATTTGGCGTGGAAAGACAATATTGGAAAGTGGAAAAATGGGATATAGGGTAACTGTTTCCCATGCCCACCCCCCCCCCCACCCCCCCCCCCCCCTTACTATTTTGACCTGGCTAGAACCCTGTTACATACTAGTAGTAATTATACAGTAGGTATCGGGGTTATAGCGTGGGTGTTTGAAAAACGACTTTCAATTCTTATTTCCGATATTTCTTACACGCGATAAATATAGTGTGACGTATCATATGCATGCGCATAGCCAGGAAGATCATCATACATGCAACGTAGTGCTGCTGTGTACTGTATAACACCTTTATTTCGGTGTAATTTAAATTTCGGTAACTTTGGTACTGGTCCTGGATCACCTAATTTAACATTACACCTAAATTTTCCGAAATACCAAAATATGTAAAAATCATGAAAATCACTGTCAAATTAAAAAAATCAACTACATGTGTAGTTGTAACTTAGGGCATGTTCGTTTGGTAGGATCGGGATCCCGATCCACCAGATCCACTGGATTCGCACCCTTTCGATTGGTCGAATCCGGATCCGGATCCTTCGGATTTGGATCCGGTCAACCCACCTCGGGGAGCAGGATTGACCGGATCCAACGGATCCAAATGTGACCTTTGTGCGTATATGGCGGGTAAAACTCGTTTTTGTACACATTGTGGTACGCACACGTGGATCGAGATAGAGCTTGCTGACTTTTTGTACAACTGGCGCTGTGAGTACGACTTTTTATTACTTCGTCCACATGGCAACAGTCAAGGCTCAAAAAAGTGTCCAGTTGACTCTGAAGGATCCGACGGATCTGAGATCTGGATCCCGATCCCGATCCTAACCAATCGAACATGCCCTTACTTGTATACTGGTATACCGGTAGTACATTGTACATACATAACATGTATGCATATGTGGAGCCTTTTGGCCTTGGCGGAGATATTAGTGCAAGAGCGTTTTTTTTTTTTTTTTTTTTTTTTTTTTTTTTTTTTTTTTTTTTTTTTTTTTTTTTTGGTGCCATGCATACCGAATTTATCCTTAAGGGGGATTCACAGAAGCATTTTTGCGATGCGACACACGATGCGACAGACGCGAAACCGGGAAAACCCCAAATCGCAGCCATGTCGCACCCCACGCAACTGGGCCATCGCAGGCCATCGCAGAAGTTGAGCTTGGCTCAACTTTTGCGATGCGATGCGATGCGACAAGCGATTTGGTGTACGATTTTGACCTTTTCAACAGCAAAGTTGTACAAAGGTGCAAGAGTTGCCTATAAATTTTTACAAGTTGTGTCAAACCGCGCGAATATCATGGTGACGTACCCAAATCAGCAAAACTTTGTCGCATCGCTGACTTCTTCTGTGAATGGTATTTCGCGAGTTCGCATCGCACGCATCCATCGCAGATCGCGTCGCATCGCGTGTCGCATCGCAAAAAAGCTTCTGTGAATCCCGCTTTACACCGAAAGGTCAGGGGTTGGCTTTTACCGAAATTTTACAACACCGAAAATAAGGTGATATACAGTATGCGGTTGCTCGTACTTCCAAAGTAGTCCCAAACTGGGCCATAGCCTGCATAGGTTCACCATGTGGCTGAGCAACATGAGCTACATGACCACAACAGATGCACTTGCAGCATTATGATGCAATTCGAGTCGGTTCAGAACTGTATCGGGAAGATGTTATTACTACAGGCGATACAGGGGCGTAGGAGGGGTTTTGGAAGTGGTACGACCGAAGGCCGTTTCTGAGGGGGGTCGGGGGGGACCTCCCCCGGGAAAATTTTGTAAAAAAGACACAAAATCCTGCGTTCTGGGAACTTCTGGCACAGTTTATAAAGTCATAGAATTATTTCACGGTCAGAAGAGTGGACGGACATGCACAGATGCATGGCAGATGTACGAGTACGAGTCTAGAAAAAGGTCAAAGACTTTTAAATATTTTAATATGCGCATCAATGCGCATATGCATCGATTGATCCTGATTTTTTTATTACTGTTTTGCACGTTCCGGACAGACCACACTTTTCGAAAAGTGGTACGGCCATGGTCGTACCAGTCGTAGCGGGTGCTACGCCCCTGCGATACACTTTGTACTAATCTGGCAAAGCAAAGTCCATTCTTAGGACCGATAATTATATTCTATTACCCGGTACACGATATTGCTTTAAAATCTTGTAGGACGCATGACGCAGCTTCATAAGTAAAAAATTGGTTGTGAGCAACACTGGCTCACACTCAAATCACTGCTTTTCACCAGAAAAATATTTTATTTCAACGTTTCGGTCATGAAATAACCATCATCAGGAATGAAGTGGGCACACCGGTTAGGATGGGTTAATAAATGAGGAGCGCTGCGAACTGATAACAAATCACACCTGCATGCACTATTACGAGAGAGAGAACAAAAGGACAAAACATCACCAAAAAAAACCTGGTATAGAAATAACGCAATACGCGACAACTCTAAATATGGCACAGGTACAGGAAACAAACAGAATGTACATGTGCACTAGGTGCATGCAGACATGTAAATGCAGGCGCTAGCAACAACAGTAGTAGTAACAGTGCACTAGTGCAAGGGGTGCAAAACCACCACTATCCAGGAAAAGCGAGTATCAGGTGGATAGTGGTGGTTTTGCACCCCTTGCACTAGTGCACTGTTACTACTACTGTTGTTGCTAGCGCCTGCATTTACATGTCTGCATGCACCTAGTGCACATGTACATTCTGTTTGTTTCCTGTACCTGTGCCATATTTAGAGTTGTCGCGTATTGCGTTATTTCTATACCAGGTTTTTTTTGGTGATGTTTTGTCCTTTTGTTCTCTCTCTCGTAATAGTGCATGCAGGTGTGATTTGTTATCAGTTCGCAGCGCTCCTCATTTATTAACCCATCCTAACCGGTGTGCCCACTTCATTCCTGATGATGGTTATTTCATGACCGAAACGTTGAAATAAAATATTTTTCTGGTGAAAAGCAGTGATTTGAGTGTGAGCCAGTGTTGCTCACAACCAATTTTTTACGAGATTGCTTGTAAGAATAAATATACACATGAAACCCATGTTATGATTATGAAAATATAATAGGCCATTCACACGACGTGCAAACATTTGCACGCGTGTGACCAAGATAACACTGGCAAACCGCGATCCAGTTCACACGGTGCTGGGCAAACTTTGCAACCGTCAATGTATCCATAGTGACCTCCTGAAAATGCCGGGAAATGTTCAATTTTGAATTTTCCCTTGTTCAAGCACTGCATTTGCAGTACGCACTTTCAACAACCGACACTTTTCCTGGCGTGCAAAGATAATCGCGAGCAAAAGGGCCTCGGCCAAGATAAAAAATCAGTTGCACACGTGTGTCCAAGTTTATCGTATCCGAGTAAATATCCTAGGAAACGGTACGATAAAAGTAAGTTTGCCCGTCGTGTGAATGGCCTATAAGAGATCATTCTTGTAGGCAGTATATTCTTTTACACGACCACACTATAACCGATACGCACTGTACATGTATACCGTATTGCAGTAATTTGAAAACGATCAAGTTGTCGGCATTAGCAACTATCTTCAGGTGTTCAATTTCACTAAAATATTAATATAGTGCTACTTTCTTCTCTTTTGCGAGAAAATAATAACAAAGCACGTTAAGCGAAACCGGGAAATCCCCAAATCACAGCCATCTCCCAGCCCACGCAACTGCCGCAACTGGGCCATCGCAGAAGTTGAGCTTGTAGTTGAGCTTGGCTCAACTTTTGCGATGCGACAAGCGATTTGGCGTACAATTTTGACCTTTTCTACAGCAAAGTTGTACAAAGGCTCAAGAGTTGCCTGTAAATTTGTACAAGTTGTACCAAACCATGCAAATACCATGGTGACGTACCCACCTGCATTGAACTTCGCATCGCTCACTTCTTCTGTGAGTGGTATTTCGCGAGTTCGCATCGCACGCCTCCATCGCAAATCGCGTTGCATCGCCCATCGCATCGCAAAAAAAAGCTTCTGTGAATCCCGCTTTATTCTCTATTTATAAAAAGAGGACCAAAAAGCTACAAATTACGCTATAATATCCACTACCACCACCAGTTAAGCTCATGCGATATTGGTCCTCTTTTTTTAATTGATCCTTGGATCTCCACCCGAGTCTGAACTATGCACGTTATTCTCCATCATAGATATCATGATAAGAGTTGCGAGTTGCTTGACCTGCCCGATTTCCCTGTATTTTGGCGGCCATGATAAGTCCATTTAGCAACTATTAGTGAATTGGAGCACAAACCGAAATGAGCAAGTGATGAGTAATCGGCACACATACAAGAAATACCAGCTTTGAATAGAAGCCCGACTTGAATAGAAGCTTAGCTCTTACACCGTTTGAATAAGAATACGCCTGGCCTTTACACTGTGATTTCATGGTATTCTAATCTTAGGCAGCACACAATACTGCACCCACCTCAGCACATGTGGTCACTCGTCCAACTCTCACATCCAGCCGTGAGAAATCAGCCATGCGAATTGCTGGCGTGGAACTTTCTGGTGCAGCTGCATCTGTCTCCTCCGGCGGCACTGGTGTCGATTCCACGTTGGAGCATAGCGTGCGGTCTTCACATCAACATGCACACACACACACACACACACACATATTACACACACACACACACACACACACAAACACACACACACACACACACACACACACATATACACACACACATAATACACACACACACACGTTTAGTTGTACACTGCCAGACACAGGCCACACGGGCATCTCCAGCAGGAGAACGAAAAGAACCAGCAACAGTGCTTCACAGGTATTCACAAAAGCATGCACATGTACCATATTTTCGGAAATTAGCGCCGCCGGTCTTTTATCACCGCCTGCCTGAAATAAGGGCCGCATCATTTCAGGGCTTTTGCGTGCATTTTTTTTCAAACTAGGTGAAATTTTAGGACTCGCAAACTACCAAGCGCCTCGGCAAGTATTGCCGAAAATACGGTATATCACATTGGCTGTGTATGTAGAATACACGTGTAGATGGGTGCATCAGGATCAGGAGCACTCACTTGCGACTGCCAGGCGTGCCAATGCTGGGAATTGCCTCCTGCACAGTAACACACTGCAGGAGGGGAAAGCAGCACAGAACAGTAGGCCTCAACACCACACATGGATAATACTCTACATCACACATCCAAATGCCCATGACAATGAAGCTCACATGATGTCCATACCATGAAGATGATTGTACAAACCGCTACACCACCACCATGCACGTTCTACGCACAGCAGCGCAGCAATTTTCTTTTCAGATGCACACCAAGTGAGTGGTTTCTACGTAACAACAGACTGCACGTGCCCATAGCGGGCTTGGCAATACCGGTATGCATGCTGACACAGGCTTGGTATTATCTTCAAATGTCAGCACACGCTCACACACACACACACACACACACACACACACACACACACACACACACACAAACACACACATGCACACACGCGCGCACGCACCGGGTATGCTTGCAGGGCCGTGTCACACAGTCTGTGCTTGGTGCGGCCACTGCTTCAGGCAACCATTAAAAAATAGACCATGATTTCCCCATCGTCACATGCCTCTACTCTGATACAGGTCCTGGTGGCAGCTAACCAGTTTCCAGGACAGAGTACACTGTATCAAGGCTTGCCCCAGCAGTGCCGCACACTAATAAAATCGCTCTAAATCTGGACTCAACGCACTGTTACTGGTGCCTGCTATGTTTGTATTTGATCTGCAAGAAGACGGCTTCGTTTCGAGATACGTGTACTTGGAATATTATTAGTATTACTAGTATTTAAAGTTGTAATAATCCTGTGCCATGTACCAGTATTCGGTGGGCTACGGGAACCTAAAAACAGTGTCAATATACAGCGGCACCGACGACTAGCATTTTTTTAGATGCATTCATTCGTTTCTGGCTGGAGAAATGAATGCTCCTGAAAATATTGATAGGCCTCTAGGGCAAAATATGTATCACAATTCTCCGTGCCAAGCCAAACATACCTCATGGACGCGAACATTGTTCCTGATTCCTTGAGCTGTGACCTTGTATCAGGAGTATGACAGTCGGCTACATGCAGCGTACTTTTCTTTGCAATGTTATTGTAGATCTCAATTGATCGACTGATTATGAGAAAATTCTTCCACTATCAGCAAGTCAATTATTATTTTCAAAGCATCCAAAATGCACGAACTCGAAAGAAACAGATATCCGCAACAATGCATGGCGTGTGCGTGATTATCTTGAGGGGGAAATCCCCGCCAGTGCTCATAACCTTGAACCTTCCAAGTAACCATGGTAACAGTTGGAAGGCTGTCGGTTAGCGCTACGGAGATGTGTTGAAGCCAGGGAGTCGTAAATACCGGCATTTTACGACTCCCTGGTTGAAGCTAGAGGTGTCAGGACGTCGAGTGTCTCAGTACTCTGTCAGTTTTGTGCCTAGCTAAGACTTTTAAAAAGTTATTGCACTTTCTGACTGTAAGTATCCAGTTACAGTGATGGAGAGTTACTCTTAACTCGTATCCATTATGTCCTTTTCTTTTCTACATTTATTTATGGCTCAACATCCGAGTTTCAAATCTTGGTTATACTTCTTTTTTTTTTATCGTCTCCACGAGTCATGGCACATAATAATAATACATAGCCAGTACAAGAAAGGGAGGGTGAATCCAACCACGGAAAATAGCATTATCCAAAAGAAGATCATAAGGAAGGGAGGTGTCACCATGTACATGTACATGTGTCAACAGCAGGTAGCACAATACTACATGATCAGTTTAGCTGAATGCATCCTTAAAAGCCGAGAGAGATTGTGAACAAGAATAACATTATAAGAGAGTTTGAGCCAAAATGTGTAAGCCTAAAATACCATTAAAGACAGGTGATTTGATCCGGCATTAGGGGCAATCGAGGGGAAGGTAATGATACCTGGTGTCTTGTATTTCTCTCTCGCTGGAACCAATCACATTATTTTCTTGAAGTGCCTATTCAGGCTTCATCTGTTTATTGAGAGTCTAGCGGTGTGGTTAGACGAGAAGGCTGAAATGGCTGTGTATACATGGTGTACTTGACGAAGTAAAAATAACTTGAAACAAACAAACCAACAAACCATGATACCTTTGCTTTTGGGGGTTCGTCACTGAGGAGCTAGAGTGCATCCGGATTTATCCATCTACCCATCTCTCTCTTTCAGTCTCTTTCTATCTACCTGTCCGTCCGTCATCCTCTCTGTCTGGCTCTCTGTCTCAGAATTCTCATCCTCTCACATCAGCGCACACAAACCCTCTCTCTCTCTCTCTATCTCTCTCTCTCTCTCTCTCTCTCTCTCTCTCTCTCTCTCTCTCTCTCTCTCTCTCTCTCTCTCTCTATCTCTCTATCTATCTATCTATCTATCTATCTATCTATCTCTCTCCTTGGCAGACTGTCTCTCCACAACTGTTTGTCTCTCTCCCCTTCCTTGTGTTCTAAGTAACCTTCCTCTCACGCATGTATCTGTATTTTCACTGGTCTGTCCGTAACTCTGTCAGCTGGTCTGTCTGTTTCCCTGCCTTCTGCTCCTATGCCTGAAAGCCGGTCTGCTATCCTCTCATGTGAGCATTTATAACCGGCTGCGAGCTTTCTCCTAATGGTGTCAGCTGTTTTACATGGCACTAGATACCCCCCCCCCCCCTTCCTTGCTTGAAAATATAACGACGGTACCGTCACGAGCTTTCTAGGTACCTAACCATGGACTCGTGCAAACCCATCCCTGCTAGTACAGTTCGCTGTCACAGGACAACTTTCATTTGTACTTCTTGCCGACGGTTAACCCCAGGAGAAGTAAAATATTCCCTGGTTAACATCTGATCCCTGAGTTGCCCCAAGCTAACGGGGTGCCACCATTAGGCAGAATTCGGTACTTTTCCTGGTAAGTTTCATGCATGTTGCATTGTTTGGTATGTGAATAAAGAAATGGAGCAGAATTCGAGGAATTGCCCGCCATAAGGTTTGTATGGTTCTGCCAATTTCACTGCTTTTCGAGCAGAATCTGCCACCTTTTCGAGCATAATCCGCCGGTGCCTAGCCACCATGCCCTATGTACATGTTGTCTTGCTGAGCAGAGATTGCTTACCCCTCGATTCCTCAGCTGAATCTGAGATGATACAATGTCAATGTCCACTCTGAAATCTGCCTAAGTTTCTTTTGCTGTGGTACATGTGCTGTTGTGTCAAAGCATGCATGAAACATCCCAGAGAAAAGTACCAAGTTAACCAAGTTGTGCTGATATTTCGACTGGCGTTATCCGCCAAGCGCTCCAGTGATTGCATTTTGGATGGTGGTTACGAGGGAGTAAAACGAGTATCATGTGCTCTTGCCATTATGTATAGTAAAACTTTCCCTACAGATGCTGCCATGGTGGCTACAAACTCTCCGACTAGTAACAACAATAAACTGACTCGAATCTCGCGAACATCTGTGACGGCATTTGGATCCAATTACTGGTAGAGAGTTGCTGTTGTTGTTGTAGAAGTCTATTTAACGTCGCACCACAAACAGGCGAGAGCAATTAACATGGAACTGGACGGTGTAGGTATCGCCTTTTGTAAGAATCGTTGTTTGGTGCAATCATGTCGAAGAGCTGAAACACGGATTGTGAGCACCTGCTGCATCTGAAGGAACACCGCGCTGATGCATTGGCAGAAAAGGGCGTGTACACTTCTTGTGTCGTCAACATTGACGTTTTCAGGTGTTTGTACACGTACATGGCGTTTTGATGAGCGGTGTCCGGTGTCCTTGCTAATACGAACTACAATACTACGTGAAGTAACGGGAATGGACTCACCACTGATGCCAGGACAGCTGTTTCAACTACTACTTACTAGTAACTAAGTCTCAACCTCAGTCATGCATTACACTACTGCATGCACTGGCCTGCAGTGCAAGAGTACTAGTATACAAGCTCAATTTACTTTTGCCAAGTTTTGGTACAATGTAGTACTATGTGGTTTGGCAACCAAGGCTTATAAGTTATAACTTGTCTAATACCAATGAAGTACTGCATGTAGTACTATAGGTCAGCCTTGTTTGATAGATTAATTAACACGTTGATCTGTCAACCGATCAACAATGAAGTACTGGTGTAGGTGTGATGTTGAAGTCTCAGACAGAAGAGTGGTCAAGCTTCGCGGTGCACTCATGTGCCCCAACATACAATAGCCTGCCTGATTAATCTCTCGAGATAGTTGTAGAAGGCTGACACATGACGATGAAACCCGATCGTCCGCGTCTTGATTTGATTCTTCTGCAACTATTTGAAAGAGCACACCTCCCGGAAAAAGCGGGACATACGAAAGAAGCGACTTGGATAAATTATTCGCGACATTCCAGTCTGCAAGTGGCGGAGGTTAAAGAGTGTTCGGCTGGCATGCAGCTGTCTGTGCTGCTGCTGCACTGGAGCACCTTGTATGCAGCAGGTAACATCAGCCATGGCCGAGGAGGAGCTGCGACAAACATGAGACTGAATGTACAATGCACAATGTACATGACAGTATAATTATGGATCGGTAAGTTCGTTACCAGGATTGCAGGGCTTTCGGAGAATCAGCAAACTGTGGTACTTTTCCTGGGAAGCCTGCTCAAATGCGTGTTTTGCACGTGCATGGACATAAGGCCGAGTAAAAAAAATTACTAGATGATCGTCCTTTTTTTTGGAAAAATCGGGGAGGGCGGGAGGATTTTATTTTTATTTTTTTACTTTTTACCCTCTCATGCACACAGTGTACACAACAACATCAAGGTTTTTTTTCTCTTTTTTTCTTTTTTTTTCTTTTTTTCTTTTTCTTTCTTCAGCAGATCGATACTGACGTTGTGATATACTAGTATGTGGTCCATATAGTAAAGAAAGTATTAAACAAAGCGTGCACATGTTTCCTGCATCCGCGATCGGTAAAAAACCAACGATTTCGGCAAAAACTCACGATTTAAAAAATAAAATATTTCTTGGGGCGCTGACAAAAACTGGGGCGGACGGGGACGATCATCTAGCTTTTTTTTTTACTTGGCCTAAGGAAGGGTTTTTATTATAAGCTTCTTTGACCGGGCGAGATTCTCTTCCGCCAATACTCTTTGTACATACATCTACATCTACTGTTCTTTCAATCAAATGAACCCCTCGATAGGCACATTGCCTTTGGGTCATTTCATAATAATAATAATAATAATAATATTAACTGGTTTGAGGGAAAGAGACAAACGGGAAAAGTCTGAAGAAAAAATTGACTGTCACCACCAGGACTCGAACCAGGGACCCTCGCTTGTAGCCAGCGATGCTCTAACCACTGAGCTATGGTGTAGTCGTCATCCAAGCAGAGACCGTTCAACGTTTTCTTCAGACTTCGTAACTCACACTTCCTGTGAATCCACACAGGCGGGTGGGACGCAGCCCTCACTGTAACCCACACACTTCACGTACAAACTAGCACGCGGGGAGCCCCAAGTCATAAAATATTAACTGGTTTGAGGGAAAGAGACAAACGGGAAAAGTCTGAAGAAAAAATTGACTGTCACCACCAGGACTCGAACCAGGGACCCTCGCTTGTAGCCAGCGATGCTAATAATAATAATGATAATAATAATGTTCCAGCTGCAAGAATCACTACTACCAACAATGTGCGATGCTGCTACCGCTCAGAGAATTTTGGAGTCGATGCTGCCAACATTCCGAGTGTTGCAGAGTCGATAGTAGTATAGATAACAAATTACAATATTGATGATTTTTGAAGACAAGTGCAAGAACGGCATGGAGATATTGCATGATGTAATTAGCGAATTTCGATGTTCGATCGTGGCCCCAATGCAGCGGCAATAACTACATGTCAAGTGTCATTTCGTTGTTCTTGGCCACAAGTATCAGATTAGAACAATGGACCGGGTTCCAATCCACTTGATGTCGCTCCTTCGTTATCAAACTCTTCACAAGCACGTGACTTAGGCACAAAGACCCGTCTGCAAATATGTTGATCTGTAATTCCAAAGACTAGCGAGGATAGTTGGCGTCCATGATGAGGTGGGGCACCGTTCCAGCGAGGCAGCGAACCATCTTTCGTGTCTACAGCACATCAAGATTGTACATGTAAAAGTACAAGTAATTTCATTACCATGTTATAGTGCCAAGATCGAAGAATACATGTAGAG